AGCAAAAACAAACTTTTAAACATTATTTTAAAATAATGTTTAAAAGGAAGAATTTGTTTTTGTTTGCATTTGTACAAATTCTGGAAGAATGCAAAAGAAGCTGATAAAAGTCGTTAGTGGTATGACGGAAAAGGAAGGACGAGATGGAACTGAGGCTTTCGCTGCATGTATTGCCTGTTCCCTGGCTGTTGAACCATGGGATTACACGGGCCCATTCAAAATTTCACACAAAAAGAAAACTACTAGTTGAATTTAAGCATGCATTTTCACTTCTAAATTAGTTTCACTCTCACTCCTACCTTTTATCCCATAACAGCTTACTCTTTAAAATGTGCAGAAGATCTCAACATAAGTAAAAAATGAAACACTAAACCTAAAAAACTGTACTATGCTACTCATGTTTAATTTTAGATAAAAATAATTTTACCATCAAAACAAGCCTCTTTGCTTCCAGATGGGCTTCTTTCCATCAAATACCACACTGAAAAGTTCACTTCCCAGTCCACTGTGTCCAACAGTGACCATCTTGCCTAGAGAATAAGGTGTTTACACTTCAGCCTGAAATCATAACTGAACAGCCGAGTCCCTTCCCATCTTACCTTCCACCCTTCCAGTCATCTCTTCAATCTAACTATTTTGATTTGTTGAATGATTAAATGTTCCTGAATCTGCCTGCACGTAGCGTCTTCTGAGGATCTTCCTTCCCTCTTTCCCATAAGGCCTAATTCAATGGGGCTGGCGCTGTGGCATTGAAGGTAAAGCTGCTGCCTACAGGCATCAGTTCAAGTCCTGGCTGCTCCGATTCTGATCCAGCTCCCTGCTAATGGCCTAGGAAAGGAGCAAAAGATGGTCCAAGTGCTTGGGCCCCTGCACCCATGTGGGAGACCAGGAGGAAGCTCCTGGCCCAGCCCTGGCTGCTGTGGCCATTTAGGGAGTGAACCAGTGGATGGAACATCCTTTCAAATAAATAAATAAATTTTTTTTTTTGGACAGGCAGAGTGGACAGTGAGAGAGAGAGACAGAGAGAAAGGTCTTCCTTTGCCGTTGGTTCACCCTCCAATGGCCACAGTGGCCTGCGCGCTGCAGCCGGCGCATCGCGCTGATCCGAAGGCAGGAGCCAGGTGCTTCTCCTGGTCTCCCATGGGGTGCAGGGCCCAAGCACTTGGGCCATCCTCCACTGCACTCCCTGGCCACAGCAGAGAGCTGGCCTGGAAGAGGGGCAACCGGGACAGAATCCGGCGCCCCGACCGGGACTAGAACCCCGTGTGCCGGCGCTGCAAGGCGGAGGATTAGCCTAGTGAGCCACGGCGCCGGCTAAATAATTTTTTTTTTTTTTTTTTATAAAAGGCCTAATTCAAGCTTTGTCAATCCTTGTCCCAATCTTCAGCTCCAGTGTTGGTTCTCTTCTCTGAATTCCTATAGCACACACCACCACTGACACCACGTTACACCTATTGCTATATTCACTTCTTCAAAGTTAGGCAGTCTTCCTCCTAGCTCAGAAGAGAAAGCAATTCTCAACAATGGCAATAACCAAAGACTGGTAGTAGTTAGTTTTCAACAGGTGTAGAGGCTACAACCCACTGGGCCTTGTTTTCTGTTTTCTGTAGACAGTTTCCCTTTCTGCAGGTTCTGCACTGAGGATCAACAAATATCCAAAAAAAGAATTTTCATCTGTATTAAACATGAGTAGACTTTTTCTTGTCATTATTCCCAAAACAATATAACAATTTACATAGTGTTTTACATTGTATTAGGTGTTGTAAGTAAAGACTTAAAGTACAGAAAGGATATGCTATGTTATATTCAGACTCCATGCCATTTTTTGAACGCACAGATTTTGTTATTCATGGAGAGGTCTTAGAACCAACCTCCCACAGGCACTGAGGGATGATTCTATATCCTGTCTCACATCTAGATGGCAAGCACTTTGTCTTATGCTAATTTATATTATGATTTTTAGGAAAATGTTCAACATAGTACATGGTAAAGAAACATTTGTTGAGATTACCCAGTCCGACAAATCCCTCTAGAAAAGATTGGTCTCATCACTGGTTTTTCCAAGGATTTGCTTTGTTTAGGAGGTCCTCTAAGACCTAGTTCCTTAACTTTGTACCACCATCCTCTTGCTCTCCTGAACTGGTATATTCAGTTTTGACTGGACTGGTTAGCATTTTCAAATCAAAGCCACTTGATAATCAAAATTTCATGTATCCACACAATGGAATATTATTTAGCCATAAAAAAGAACAAAGTACTGGTACATGTTATGACCCAGATAAACTTTGAAAGTGTGCTAAGTGAAAGAACCCAGTAACAAAAAACTCACAATTCTATATTTAATTCCGCTCATATGAAAGCCCAAACTAGATTATAGGGAAAGGAAGTAGATTAGGTGTTTCAGGCTGTGAGTGGGTGGGGAGCAGATACAGTTTCCTTTTGAGATGATGAAATATTCTAAAATTAACTGTGGTGATAATTGCTCTTCTCTGTGAATAATTAAAAACTACCTTTATACTTTAAATTGTTAAATTTTTAATGTGAATTTTATCTAAGTAAAGTTTTTTTTAAAAGATTATTTATTTGAGAGGCAGAATTATAGACAGAGAGAGGGAGAGGCAGAGAAAGAGGTTTACTTCCCACATAGCCACAACAGCCAGAGCTGGGCAGATCTGAAGCCAGGAGCCAGGAGCTTCTTCCCTGTCTCCCACATGAGTTCAGGTGCCCAGGCATTTGGGCCATCCTCCACTGCTTTCCCAGGCCATCAGCAGAGAGCTGGATCGGAAGTGGACACAAACTGGCACCCACATGGGATGCCAGCACCACAGGCAGAGGCTTAACCTACTATGCCAAGCACCAGCACCCCTCAATAAAGTTTTTTTTTTAAAGAAATTGAAGACAATTCACATCTTTACACAGTAAATATGAATTTAGTAGACCTATTTACTGCAAGTAAAAAAATGGGAATAAGTGTTTGATCTGGAGTTGAGACATCAGGTAGGAAACTGGCATCCCATGTTGGAGTGCCGGAGTTCAACTCTCAACTCTGACTCCTGATTCCAGCTTCCTGCTAATGTGGACACTGGTAGCGGGATGGTAGTTGAGACACTGCCACTGGAGTTGGGAGACCTGGAGTGAGTTTCTGGCTCCTGACTTTGGTCCCCTGGCCATTGCAGGTATCTGGGGGAGTAAACCAATGAGTGGAAGCTCTCTGTTTCTTTGCCTGCCAAGTAAATTTTCTAAAATTAAAACTAAAGGCGTCCTTAAATGTTCCACACCTATCTGCAGGATGTATTTTTCATGTGGCACAATTCTGGCCAAGAAGCAGATCAAAGATCGAAACGGAAGGAAAGCCAAGCATCAACTGCCGCATGCCTCTCATCTCCAATTGCTGCCTGTGTCTTACAGACCCCAGTGTGCATGAGGGTGACAATGACTTACGAACACGCCTAGTACTTTTCACAGCTCTGTTCCTTGGTTTACCCTGCTATAAAATGCTCTTCCTCCTTTCCATCCTTCAAGGCTAAACGCAAAAGTTTTCTATGAAACTTTCCCTGGAGCTGGCACTGTGGCTCAATGAGTTAAGCTGCTGCCTGAGGTGCCTGCATCCCATATGGGTGCCAGCTTGAATCCTGGCTACTCTACTTCCAATCAAGCTCCCTGCTAATGCACCTGGGAAAGCAGTGGAAGATGGCCCAAGTCCTTGGGCCACTGCACCCACATGGGAGCCCAAAAGAAGCTCCTGGCTCCTGGCTTCGGCTTGGCCTACCACCGGTCCAGCCCCGGTTGTTGCACCCATTTGGGCAGTGAATCAATCGACAGAAGGTTTCTCTATGTCTCCTTCTCTCTCTGTAACTCTGCCTTTCAAACAAATCAATAAATAAATCTTCAAAAAATATTTTTATTTATTTGAAAGGCAGAATTACAGAGAGGGAGAGAGATCTTCCATGCGCTGGTTCACTGCCCATTTAGGGCAGAGCCAGGAATCAAATCCAGGTACTGCGGCATGGGCCACAGGTGTCCCAAGTGGCATCTCCATGGCTTTTTATAGGTCAATTAAGCATTTTCTTAGCTAAGCGTGTTATACAAAGAGATATCCAATATCTTGAATAGAACTGACCATAAGTCATCTCATTAGATGAACCAATTATGTTCCATCTATTAGATGCACTGTGAAAGCTGGGAGCCAATTGCCTGAAGGTCCGGTGAGGGATTCAGTGGTGGGTGGAAGTTCAAAGAACTGATGAAAAGTAGTGATGGGCACATGAGGATCCTTTGTGTGGAGCTCAGCTATGTAGGTCAGTTACCAAACAAAGGGTAACTTGAAAGACTTCTCAAAAGTTTCCTATCCAAAATACCTCTGCATATTATACCACCACCGACTGAAATGTCAGTCACCAGTAGAGGTTCATCTGGTACTGTCCGTGCCTGACACCCAGGCCTGAAAGGGTGGTGTGGTTTCCAAACATGCCAGGGGGCTGAACGCACGCTGATAAGCAAAGATAATAGTGCAGTGAGTCAACAGAGGGCAATGCTAACGCAGCATCGCAGCATGGGGGGAGGCTCCAACCATGCAAAAGCGAGAGAAAGAGGAGCTCAGAAAGGCAGGCAGGGCAGAGGTACTCACCACAGTCAGAGCGAGCAGAGCGCGGCTGCTGAAGTTAGAAGGAGTAGGGGAGAGAAGGAAAGCAAGAGGAAGTACAATTAGAGACTAACTAAGGAAGTGGCAACTGAACAGAAGGGGAGATCAGAGAATGAATTTAAATATTCATGAGCGGACAAGGAGTGAAACAGAAGGTAAGTGACAGGTGGCACTGAGGGAAGTGGTCACCGTGTGCCAGGAATGAGCCCTCCCTGCTGTATGTCCGTTTGCCTTTCCTTCCTCCTCTGCTGCGGTTACCCCAGTTCTTAGCTACTCGACTCAGAAGCTGAGTCACATGAACCTTTCATATCAATTTTGCCCTGAGCCCCAGCCTCACCCCAAATTGCAACAAAATGAATTATTTCATCTTCCTCTTTATTCTCAAAACATTACGGTGTTAAATAAGGTCTAAGAGGTGCTGGTCTAGTCCTTGTTTGGTCTCTAGAGAGGTAGGTGGGGCAGAATTGAACCCCCAGGAACATGAGAGCCTCATGTGTGGCAGCTGCTACACAAAGCTCAAAGGCCAAGATCAAATCCTGAGCACACCCATGCATGGATGGTAGGGCACAGGCTCCAGTTCCTGGGGTAGTCAGGAGGAAGGGAAGCAAACTTCTTTGAGAAGACAGCTGGGCAAGAGGACCTGGCACTGGACTGTCTGGTGGGACAAAGCGGGGAGGTAAAGGGTAAAGGTCTTCCTCTTCCTGCTACTACCTTAGGGCAGAGGCACATGACTCCAGCAAGGGGCCAAAGTAGATGGCGGTGACTTGGATCTTATCACAGAGATGCCTGACCCCACCAGGGCTGGTCAACTGACATTGCCAGGGAGTGGCACGCTAGCCATGAGGATGGAGACGAACTGTTCCAATTTCTGTGCGGCCTGTTTCCCAGCCTCCAGGACTTCCTCGTGATTGGCCTTCTCCAGGTTTTCATAATCCAAGATGACTTTGTTAGTGATGAGTGAGAAGCCGAAGACCCGAAGTCCGCAGTGCCGGGCAACTACCACTTCTGGTACGGTGCTCATGCCTGATGGGGAGAGAAGGCAGCCACCTGTCAGGACCCTCCATGCTCTTTTCCTCATCCTCACCCTCGGCTTTAGTCACGACTTCACTGTAAATTCTAAATCCCGAAAACGCATTCAAAGCAGCAACTAAATTAGTGTTGAGCTTATTGTTCTGTATTACTTGAAGTAAGCGGAGCTCTTCCTAGGACTTTTTGCATCTGGTAGATTTTACCAATGCAGTGCTTTCTATCTATATTGATCTGTGGAAATGAGTCAGTCCTGTGGACACAGACCTATCAGCCAGAGGTCCAGGAGACGGCTCCAGTGATAACCCCTCCCCCTTCGAGCCTGCAGCCAGAGCCCCCTTCTCACCAACAGCATCCGCCCCCAGCTTCTGCAGCAGACGAGCCTCGGCCACAGTCTCAAAGTTGGGGCCTGCGATCATCACATAGGTGCCTTCTTGGAGCTCGCGCTGCTCCCCCATCTGCTTCCAAGCGCTTAGAGCCTTCTGCCTCATGGTCCGGTCGTAGGCGTCGGACATGGCAGGAAAACGAACACCAAACCTAGGGCAGAGTGGGCGACCTCAGATGACGGACGCTGAGCCAAGTCCGTGAACCCCACGCGTGCAGAAATGAAGGAGTGCGACACATACCTCTCCTCATTGGGCCCTCTGAGAGGGTTCTGACCACAGAAACCGGGCAGGTTGATGTGGTCGCGGATCAGCATGATGTCTCCAACCTCAAACTTGGGGTTAAGGCCTCCAGCCGCATTGGTGACCACCAAGGTGTCCACCCCCAGAAGCCGGAAAACCCGCACAGGGAACGTCACCTTAGAAACAAGAGATCAGAAAAAAGTTTTCTCGAAATTTCCCACAACCACCTATGCAGAGCTACACCAGAAAGCGAGGAATGCAAGAAGGGTAGACAGTTCTCTCCCTTTTCTCAGATCCAACCTGGCTTCTGCCCCGGCTTACCTTCCAGAGTGGGTACCCTTCATACAGATGGAATCTGCCCTGCATCATCACACATGCTCTGCCATTCAAGAAGCCAAACACCAGTCGACCAGCATGACCTGGCACTGTGTACACAGAGTGGGGGAAATGAACGGCTTTAGACTTCATGCAACACATCCACTGAGCACCTGCTAGGAGCCACCACCGTGAGCATGTTGAGGGGGTAATTAAGCAAAAGACAGAATCTCTGCTTTCAGAAACTTTAAGTCTGGCGGGATAGATGTTAATCGCAATTACACAAGCACAACCTGATGAGTTATGGGAGTCAGGATGCTCAATGTGAACATACAAAGGAAGAAGGGAAGGTTTGTTCAAGAAATTACAGAAGATGGGGCTGGCGCTGTGGTGGGCTAAGCTTCTGCCTGTGGTGGGCTAAGCTTCTGCCTGTGGTGGGCTAAGCTTCTGCCTGTGGCGTCGGCACCCCATATGGGTGCCAGTTCCAGTTCTCTGCTATGGCCTGGGATAGCAGTAGAAGATGGCCCAAGTCCTTGGGCCCCTGCACCCACATAGGAGACCCAGAAGAAGCTCCTGGCTCCTGGTTTCAGATCAGTACAGCTCTGGCCGTTGCGGCCATTTAGGGAGTGAACCAGTGGATGGAACACTTTTCTCCATCTCTCCCTGTCTCTGTAACTCTACCTCAAATAAATAAATAAATAAATAAATAAATAAATTTTTGAAAAAAGAAATTACAAAAGAATGAGAAAGCCATATTATAAAAGTGAATAAAAAGTAAAGTGGATAGCAGCTAATATAGTAGTTATAGACCTCTCTCAAAAATGTCAAAATATTTCCCTGACTATACTATATGCCTCTTCATGCCAGCAAGGGAACTCACAATATCCTTGGGCTTCCTAAAGAAAAGGCTATTTAACAAGGAAGAAATGGGCTGAATTTGGACCTAGACAAGGCTCCTTTCTTTCTTTCTTTCTTTTTTTTTTTCCTAAAGACTTATTTATTTATTTGAAAGATAGAGTTAAAGAGAGGCAGAAGCAGAGAGAGAGAGATCTCCATTCACTATTCACTCCTCAGATGCCCGCAGTGGTCGGAGCTGTGCTGATCAGAAGCCAGGAGCTTCTTCTGGGTGCAGGCACCCAAGGTCTTAGGCCATCCTCTACTGCCTTCCCAGGCCATAGCAGAGAGCTGGATCAGAAGCACAGCAGCCGGGACTTGAACCGGCACCCATATGGGATGAGGGCACTGCAGGCAGCGGCTTTACCCACTGTGATACAGCGCCGGCCCCAAGACTCCTTTCTTATGACTCACAAAACGGTCCTGTGGGAACATGTACCCACGTAACAGCACATGGGGTGCAGGAGTGCAGAGATAACTCTGTACAGACCTGTCAACAATTTCCCTTATCTGGTTGTCTCCTCTAGTGGGTGCAAAACCCATCCCTGAGAGAACAGATGGCCTGGGAGAGGTCTAGAATCAAGAGGAAGGGTTGAGGAATACTCAAAGAAAGGATTAAAAATATTAATAGTATTAGAGCAAAGTTGACAGTTAAGAAAACCCAAGTGGAGTATAAGAAATAAATAGGTTGATAAACTTAAAAAATTAACCCATTTATCACTTACTGCAGTGCCCGCCTCACTGGGGAAGGAGTGGCAGGTGCAGCCACTGTCAATGCTCTCTTAGAACAGTGTGCCGTCCCTTTGTCGTCTCTCTCACTTCAATATTTCCTCTCCAACCCCCATTCTCACTTCTCCTTACCCTATTCTGATCTTGTTCGGAAGGTTTAAAAATATCTATTAAAACAAGTAACCCGCCAGAGAAAAGAGGAAGGAGGATAGAATCTAAAAAAATTCAGGTTGGCGCCGCGGCTCAATAGGCTAATCCTCCGCCTAGTGGCGCCGGCACACCAAGTTCTAGTCCCAGTCGGGGCGCCAGATTCTGTCCCGGTTGCCCCTCTTCCAGGCCAGCTCTCTGCTGTGGCCCGGGAGTGCAGTGGAGGATGGCCCAAGTGCTTGGGCCCTACACCCGCATGGGAGACCAGGAGAAGCACCTGGCTCCTGCCTTCGGATCAGCGCAGTGCGCCGGCTGCAGTGCGCCGGCCGCGGTGGCCATTGGAGGGTGAACCAACGGCAAAGGAAGACCTTTCTCTCTGTCTCTCTCTCCCACTGTCCACTCTGCCTGTCAAAAAAAAAAAAAAAAGGAAAAAGGAAAAAGAAAGAATCTAAAAAAATTCATACATAAACCAAGGGAAATCAGTTATTTACAAAACTAATAAGTAAACCAAGTGAATGGTCCTTGTCCTTTACTGTCACTATTCCCGCTGTGGGTTTCTGGTTGTTTGTCTTTTTCTAAGGGCTGGTGCTTAGCCCAGCTCTCGCAGGACTTGCCTGTACGTAAGGGGCTACCTGCCCCTTTCCCTCTCCTGAAGCTCAGTGTGAGTCAGGTCTCAGCATGCATGCAGAAGCTGCAGATGTCCGCAGAACACGGCACACCACTGCTGGGCACCAATGTGTGTCATATCCTAGGGCTGCAGCTAGAGCTGGAGGGATGCGGAAAGGCAGGAAGACACTGGACAGAAAAGGCCTGACTTTTCCCTGGGAGTGGCCACACACTGCGTGTCCTGGAGGGCTGTTGGTGTGTGTGCTGATGATGGTTTATGGGAGGCGCCATGTGGGCGGCTTGTCAGGGGATTTTGAAGAACTCTGAGTCAGCCGAGCACAGGAAACATGGAAAGATGCCATCATAGTTCTACCGAAACACACCCTTCCTATACCACATTTTTACTAGAAAATCTTCCATCAAACTCTGATTCTTTTTTTTTTTTTTTTTTTTTTGGTCTCATATTTATCTTGGGCAAATGCTAGGTCACAGAGTAGTAAACGCTGGCCTTCCTGACGGCGACCCACAGAATCCCATCAGTATATAACCCTCAGCCCCATCCCAGCCTCCCCCGGGCAGTACCTGTACTTCGGGGAAAATTGGGTATGTCACTGTAGTCAAAGACCTGGGTCTCGGTTAATTTGTCAGTCAGACCTCCCAGCCCAGAGCCACAGATCACTGCCACTTGAGGTCGGTGTGTGGTGTGAGACAGGAGCCATTCTGCAGTGTTCTGATAATCTTCATATGTGAATCTAGGGGGAAAATGAAAGTCAAAGAAGTGAGTTCTGCTCCCAGCCCATGGGTATCGGACAAATGATCAACAGTGAGGAAGGCTGGCAGGTACATGGAAGCAGCTGGCGATGGAGAAATTGGCTCCCAGGGAGAAGCCATACTATGCTTACCCACCCATTCAACCAGCCCTCTTTGAATTCAGCCCATTGAGAGCCAGACATGAACCCCCCTCCATTTGAGAACCTGACAATAGTTCATGAAGCCTACATCTTGACTAACAGCCCTTCCTCCAATGTTGTTACCCATAGCAGATTTAATCTCCTTCTTTATGACAAAAACTTAGAGGAAGGGACCAGAGTCCAGAGAGAAGTGCAATGAAATAATCAAATCAGGAAGGTAAAAGGCCCGGTTAAAGGAAACAGGCTGGGGAGAGTGGGGTTAGGGAGGTGGCCACTGTGAACCCGCATCCCACAGAGTGTTGGTTCTGGCTGCTCTACCTCTGATCCAGCTTCCTACTAATGCACCTGGGAAAACAGTAAAAGATGACCCAAGGACTTGAGCCCCTGCCACCTATAGGAGACCCAGATGAAGTTCCAGTCTCCTGGCTTTGACTTGGCCAAACCCTGGCTGTTTTGCCATTTGGGTAGTGAACCAGCAGACAGAATCTCTCATTCTTGTCACTCTGCCTTTCAAATCAATAAATCCTTTTAAAAATGGGATTAAGACCTTCCTGTGGGCAGTGACAAATCTAGTACAATTTTCCTTAGGATTCTATCTATCCCCTAGGGCCATATAAAATGTAATTACAGGGCGGGAGCCGGCTAGTGGCTCAGTGGGTTTAAGCTGTCGCCTGCGATCCCCGCATCCCATATGGGGGTGGGGGTTGGCGTACTGGTTGTTCCACTTCTGATCTAGCTCCCTGGTAAGGCACCTGGGAAAGCAGAGGAAGATGGCTCAAGCACTTGGGCCCCTGCAACCCACGGGGGAGACTTGGATGGAGTTCTTAGCTCCTGGCTTCTGGCTCAACCACAGCTTGTGGTGGCCATCTAAGCAATGAACCAGCAGGTGGAAGATCTCTCTCTCTGTCTATCTCTCCCTTTCTAACTATAACTCTGCCTTTCAAAAAATAAAAGCTTTTTTTTTTTAAAGTAATTAAGACTACCTTGAGGGCAAAAGTAAATCCAATTTCCTTTTGTATCCTCACTCTCCAGTTCCTTCCTCAAATATTAAGGGCTAAATGTTTTAAGAAAAACACTGGAAACCTCCTAGAAGAGGTCTAGGTGCCATTCATAGCTCCCCTGGGTTCTAATTTCTGGGATACCCAGGCCCACATAGACCCTCTGTCATATGAAATTGCAAGGGGTAATAATTCAAGACTAGGGACTAGGTAAACTAAGACTCAAAAAAGCAGACCTAATCCACAACACTGGTTGTCAAAGGTTAAACCAGACTGACGGCATACATTCTATGTATGTATTCTATACATTCTGTGTATGAGCTTGTTACAAATACTGGCCCGCCCTTGCAGATGTAATAATTCTGGAGAGAGGCCCGAGAGTTCCCAGTTCTGTAAAGTAGCTCACGTAATTCTGATTCCAAAGTCATGTTTGGGAACTTGGGGGTAGAAGGAAGCCAGAACTCAATCTAGGTTAATGTCCCAATTGTCTTTTTAGGCAAATAACCTGTGCTTCAGTCTTCCTTGAGTATAAAGTAAGGCAAGGTTATCTGCCCCATCTGTTGTACAGGCTCAGTTTGAAAGAGAATTTAAAACTTGCTGCCCAGCTCCCAAGGCTCTGTTCCACTCAGCCTTGAACCTTTCTCCGGAATTCCTCCTGCCTGTGGTCTCCTCCCAGCCCCACCCCACCCACTTCCTACCTACTCCCATCTTTCCTCCTCTTCTCCAAGGCTCTTTGCCCTTGAGGGACCTGGCAGCACACAGAATATTAGATATTTTTTTGACTTTTTTTTTTAACTTAACTTCCCTCCCACCCACAACCCTCCCCTCTCCCACTCCCTTTCCAATTCTCACAACCATCTGAGAAATTAATGATTAATGATTACCTTCAGAAGTGGAACTGAGGTGTGGCAGGGCTGAAAACAACTAGCCCTGCCAACAGAGGCATGCTTCCCTCTCCAAAGCAGAGTCCAGGAAAGAGATACTACAGTACAAAAGGCTGCAGGTGGGGATGGAGCTGGGGTGGGTGTGGGAGCAAAAGTGCCCAGAGATGAGAAGAATGAGGTTGGTAAAAAATTAACGTATCTCCAAGAGGTGCAAAGGAAACGAAGTGTGGAGCAGCCGCCACCTGGCATGACTAGTCCCAGTCCATGGGCTTCCTTGCTGGCACTCAGTCCTCGCAGGAGTATCCTGGATCCTCCCTGGGCATCCAGAAGTCACTGGGATCCCTAACGCTGGTGACTTAGCCTGGAAATCCCAGGACCAACGCGCAGAGAGGGGCTTCCCTAAAGGTGTAAGGGTGAGGGTCGGGAGATGGAGTCTTGCGAAGCTCCATAAGAATTTCCGTCTTTACTTCATTTCCAATTGATTAATTTGACTTACAATTTGGAGGGGGAAAGAAAAAAAATAAAAGAGCTGGCCAAGGGAGGCGGGCACTCTTTTCTCTAACGGAGAACTCCAACTTCAGACACAAAAAGCACCTCGTGGCTTTCCTGAGACCCTGGGATGAGGTGGGGGCGCGATGTCCGCCCTGGGACGAGGTGGGTCTTACGCCCCCCTCGTCACTTGCACCTTAACACATGCACGCGCGCTCATACACAACGGTTCCTTTTACGAGCAGCTCAGGCCACAGTAACCTGTCCCCTTCCTGCTCCGGTGGCGCCACCCTAACTCGATTCCCGCGTGCGCCCCTGCCCGTGTTATCGCCTGGCCCCGGACACCCAGGCTCCGTGCCAGGCCTCTCTGCATCTCCGAGGCACTCGCTCCCTCGCCCGGTCCCCTCGGGGCCCAGGGTGCCAAGTTTCCCAGGCTTGGGGACAGCCATTTCCCCCTCCCCAGGGGCCCCTGGGGTCCTCTGGGCCTGGTGCCCGGCTCACCCGTCCTCCATGGTCGCGCTGCCGCCCTCCGGTCGAGCCTTCCCTTCGCTCCGGCCGGCTGCGCTGCGGTGGCCGGGTCCGGTCGGCACAGTTAGTGCACTGTTCTCCGGGAGCTGGCTTTTATCCCCGGCCCGGGAGTCCCCAGCCAATGGCAGCGGAGCTCGCGGGCCGGCCCCGTCGCCATGGCGACACAGCCCGATTCAAGCGCCCTAGGCGGGGCCTTAGTCCTAAACCGAGTTCCTTTTCCCCCCCCGGCTCTGGTCCCTCTTCGGCCCGCCCCGGGGCATCCAGCATCTCATCCCCGCATCCATTCAGTCCTCGGGGCCAGGCTTTGAAGCAAGGAGGCCTAGAAGCCGCGAGAAGAGCACCCGAACCCGCAAACCCGCTCCCGGCAGTGTTTACAGGAAACGCTGAGAAATTTGGACAGAGAAAATTTCAAACCTTGGATAGCGCAACCCCAGAATAAAATGAAATGAGTCAGTGTCTGCATCGCTTCCTGGACGAGGGAAGCAGAGTCGCTTGTGGCAACCCTGTGGCTGGAGGTTGCAGTGTTTGGGAGAACCCGGGCGCGGATAAGGGGAAGAAGAAGTTCTACGGCAAGAATTCCTGCCTCCTAGACACAGAGAAAGGCTGGGGGCGGGCGGGAGGGAGGATGCGGACAATTCCTTGATTTACTCGGATACAAGCAATTCAGATAACTAGAGAAAGACCTGCCCCAAGATGAAAATTTAATTTCACAACAAGACTACATAAAGTCTTGGTGAGAATACAGCCATTTTCTTCTGCCTAGTTTTATAAATTTCACCTACCTCGCGTCAAATGACAAGTCAATGGCCCCTGCTTAGCTGTTGGAATTGTCCACCTGTCCTGAACACTAAAGGTTGATGCTTGCCATTTTACCCATCACGATAGCATGAGTCACTGTTTTCCAACCTGGTTTTTCCCATGCATTTAACAAATATTTTTAGCATCTACTATGCACCTGAACTCTTAGAGCTATGGACATAATTCCAAAACAGTATTGGTATAGAAAAAAAAAAAAAAAAAAACCAAAAGTATGTAAAGAAGTGAGCCCAATGCCAAATAGATTTTTCTGACACATAGTTGTTTTATTACTGTCCTTATACATCCCATAATTTTAGCAAAGGTAACCAGAGGATGACTAAAGGTAAAGATTCACTTTCCTAATGAGACTATGAAGTATTGAAACATTGAAGGCATTGTTTTCAAGGAGGGAGATCAGTCACAGGTAAAAAAAAAAAAAAAATGGGCCAGGAAAATATCTATGCATTTGATTACTGAAGATGTTGTTTTTTAAATGCCCCAAATCTAATTCAGTTCACACAAAGACAGGACTGGAACTTGATTATAACTAAGAAGTGCAAACCTATCCAACTCACTTTAGTGGACTCTGCCTGAAGTGAATGTGTGCAAACAAAAGATGGTCTGTGATATTTCTACAAAATGAAAACTGGGGCAAGGCTTAGTCTTCCGTAGTGTTTCTCCAGCAGCCTGTGAGGAATAGTCGGAATGTATGAGGGATTTAAAAGATAAGTTTATCTTGGTGAAATATATTTTGAAATCCATGTACTTGTTTTAAATAATATGCACTAAAATTCACATAAAAAAAGGAAAATAATACGTACTTTCTATGAACTTTTTGAGGACTGCTTGTATATAAACATCCTACCAAAGAAATGCACATTTATGTGACTAGCAAAGACAGTTTCCCAGAAAACATCTTGGCCAGGGTGATATAACCTTCTGAACTTCATGACATACATAACATTCATAACAGTATGTTATCTTTTTTTTTTTTTTTTTTGACAGAGTGGACAGTGAGAGAGAGAGACAGAGAGAAAGGTCTTCCTTTGCCGTTGGTTCACCCTCCAATGGCTGCTGCAGCCGGTGCACTGCGGCTGTCGCACTGCACTGATCCGATGGCAGGAGCCAGGAGCCAGGTGCTTTTCCTGGTCTCCCATGGGGTGCAGGGCCCAAGCACTTGGGCCATCCTCCACTGCATTCCCTGGCCACAGGGACAGAATCCGGCGCCCCAACCGGGACTAGAACCTGGTGTGCCGGCGCCGCTAGGCGGAGGATTAGCCTAGTGAGCCGCGGCGCCAGCCACCAGTATGTTATCATTATCTGTAGTTGCCCTTCTGTGCGATGGAACCCTAGAACTTCTTACTCCCATCTAGCTATAATTTAGTTCCCACAAATCATGCTTCCCTGTCCCTTCCTTCCCACTTCTCTCCCCAGTCTCTAGCAGGCCTTTGCAGACCACATCTTTATTTGTGATCTATCAAACAAGGGCACCCAATCTCTGGGGGATATTAAATCCTACCTGGAGTCCTGTCCTACACCTGTCCTTGGCAAATCATTTTTACATCTCTTACTTTCCTCAAAGGGTTTCAACTACTAAAGGGTATAGATTGGGGTATTTCGTGAACACAAAGCCTTGATGGCCAAATGCCAAAATTGCCTAATAAATGTCTATTATTTTCCTGGAGGCCATCTCAAACCAAATCCCCACACTCTATTCCTATAAGATTGCTTTGATCTGTTTTCTTTTTTAAAAGACTTATTTATTTATTTATTTATTTGAAAGTCAGAGTTACACACAGAGAGAAGGAGAGGCAGAGAGAGAGAGAGAGAGAGAGAGGTCTTCCATCCACAAGTTCACTCCCCAATTGGCCACAACTGGTTGGAGCTGCGGCGATCTGAAGCCAGGAGCCAGGAGCTTCTTCTGGGTCTCCCATGGGAGTGCAGGGGCCCAAGGACTTGGGCTATCTTCTACTGGTTTTCCAGACCACAGCAGAGAGGTGGATCAGAAGTGGAGCAGCCGGGACTCAAACCTGCGCCCATATGGGATGCCAATACTGTAGGTGGTGGCTTTACTCGCTATGCCACAGCACCTGCCACACTTTGATCTGTTTTCAACACCGCAGTCTAGACTTCCCAGTTCACAGTGCTCTTAGGTTCTCAAAAATATTTCACAGCACTTCTAGGTCAAAAGAAATACTTAACAGTTTTCTTTTGTTTTTGTTTTGACAGGCAGAGTGGACAGTGAGAGAGAGAGACAGAGAGAAAGGTCTTCCTTTTCTGTCGGTTCACCCCCCAATGGCCGCTGTGGCCGGTGCACCGTGCTAATCTGAAGCCAGGAGCCAAGTGCTTCTCCTGGTCTCCCATGCGGGTGCAGGGCCCAAGCACTTGGGCCATCCTCCACTGCACTCCCAGGCCATAGCAGAGAGCTGGCCTGGAAGAGGGGCAACCGGGACAGAATCCGGCGCCCTGACCGGGACTAGAACCCGGTGTGCCAGCGCCGCAAGGTGGAGGATTAGCCTAGTGAGCCGCGGCGCCGGCCTATTTTATTCTTAAGAAAACTGCAAGTACTTACTCATGGGATATATCCACCTGCTTGACACTGTACAATTTCTCAAACATTGGAATCCAACATAGCCACCCTCATTTACTGTTACATGCTATTTTCCACACTGTATTGTTATCAGAACCATCTCCTAAAACCAGCTTTGCAAAGATATTTTGTCATCAGAAGGAATGTAACATAAGCTAATGCTCAAAATTTGAGTTATCTCAAGCTACTAATTCACATGGTGGACAAGAACTTTAAAATATTGCTACCTTTACCTTTAGTTTTAAAAATATTCCATGGTGTCCGTGTGAGTTTATACCTTGGCACAGAGTTTAGAATCACAGCCACAGTTATTCCATTTCTACTTCATCTCTGAATTTATGGAGTGTAAATGAATGGCCTCTGTTATCAAACTATCTGTGTATGAATTCCATCTCTCTACCTTGCTTATCAGCCATGTGAGCTTAGGTAAGTAAATTCCTACTGTGCCTCAGTGTTCTTATCTGTAAAGTGGTGATAATAATAGTACTTACTATTGTATAAAGATTATATAAAATACCTATTCAGTGTTTCGACTGTGCCTAGTATTATAATAAACACATAGGAAATGACGGTTCTTCTTATTATTTCCTCCTCTCTCTGAGTTTCTCTTTTATAGACCCACCTAACCATGACCTGCGTCAAAAGATCAACACCAACTGGAGTACTACACTGTGAAAACAGTAGTTTCTAGTCATAGCTGGCTATTTAGACATAATAAAGCTAAGTGAGATGAGATGATAGTAAATATTCCGTGTCCTAGTCATGCTAATTACATTTCAACTGCTCAAGAGCACAAGTGGCTCCCTTACACATGACACAGAACTGCTTCTATCATCACAGAAAGTCCTGCTGCAGAGCACTTTCCTTAGTTTTTCTAGTCACTGCTGTTCTGTTTCCACATAGCAGAACCCATAACTGTGATGTACTCTGTACTTTTAGCATAAGGATAATTTTAGGGTTACTGTAGTCAGGAACCAAACAATCCCCAACCTTAGTGTGATGACAATTCATTTCTGCCTTATTATCTTTTCTTCTCTCCTCTTATCATTCCTTTTATCTTCAGAAGGACTCTTACGTCCA